TTATTAGTGGAATCATTGTACTGGCCATTTCTTCAATGGATGATGGCTGCTCTTTTTCAGGCGACGACCATGGTAACACATAAACAGGAACACTTCTATCAATCAAGTTTGCTACTTCAAAGGCATAAGAAATATCTCCATCGCCACTGGGAAGAAAAAATATAGGTGTCCCATCGCCGTAGCGACGAGCTGGTATAGCAACATCTGAATACAATCTGTCTGAAGAATTGGTCATTCTTTCCGCTAAGTCTTTGAGTATTGGAAAGGAAAACACAGCCCGAGCACTGACGCGTATATCATAATGCATTTTAATAAGGTTCGTGAATTGCATAACTGACAGAGAGTGGCCGCCCAACTCAAAGAAATTGTCATTTCGGCTGATGCGTTCAATGCCAAGTATTCCATTCCAAATTTTGGCAACTTTTTCTTCCATTTCACCCCGTGGTTCTTCATATAACTGACGAGCAAATGCTTCATCATCTGGAAGCGGTAATGCACGCCGGTCTAACTTGCCATTGATTGTGAGTGGTAATGATGATAGACACACATAAGCCGCCGGTACCATATAATCAGGCAGTAAAGATGATAGATATGTACGTAGATTGTTAGCAAGTGATGCATCTGAATCGGCCACTACATAGGCCACCAAACGGGTATCGCCATCAATCTCGTCTTTCCATGGCTGTACAACCGCTTCATGCACCAAAGGATTTTCAACAAGGCGGGCTTCGATTTCACCGGGCTCAATTCGGCAGCCGCGAATTTTTATTTGTTGGTCGGTACGTCCCAAATATACTAGATTTCCATCAGGTAGATAGCGTGCCAGATCTCCGGTACGATACATGCGCGCTGCCTTATGTTCACTGAATGGATCGGACAAAAAGCGTTCCGCAGTAAGTTCAGGTCGGTTGAGGTAGCCGCGGGCCACACCAGCGCCACCAATATACAGTTTTCCTGCGGCGCCCAATGGCACCGGTTCACCTTGTGCATCTAGCAAGTAGACTTGGATATTTGATAGTGGACGACCGATTGGTATCAAATGGCTTTTAAAATCTATCGGACATATCCATGTTGTTGCAGTTATAGTCGTCTCGGTAGGGCCGTAAACATTAACAACGTTCGTATGAATGGTAGCATTTTGTAGTAAGGATATCGGGGGTGTTTCGCCACCAAAACTTAACGTCTGCATTCCACTTAGGTCAGCTAGATTTTGT